CAGACTTATCTGTTGCGTTCAAAACTTGAATCGGAACGACATTTGATGATGAATTAACAACTGTTTTAGCCAACAGGAGCTGATGTTTCTTCACAAATTTATCTGAAGCTACTAACATGCTACTTTCTGGAGCATAACCAATATCAATAACTTTCCCCGGAATAATCTGCTCGACACCCGGCGGAATAACTGTTGTCTCTGACACAGCAACCCGACAACATCGCACACCTTGTGTATTTACTACTGCACAAGATATCCGTTCTTTGTTAACAGTCATTGTATTGTTAGCCACATCAATGTAACACATATTTTGTTTCATGAAGTCAACACCGATAATACAGTCTATATCTTCATCTATATCAGCTACCCACACATCGTGTGTGAGAAGTGTGCTCCCAATTTCAACGTTCATTTTACCTATTCCTCTAACTTTAAGTGGTTTACCGTCGGCAAGTTTCATGTTTGTATGTGTTGGACGCAACACCACTCTGTTTCCATCGGACAGAGAATCGTATACCTTATCATTCAAAATTGTCACATTTGCACCTGTATCTACTAAACATTGAACGTTTGTACCTTGAAATTTACCAGGAATATACATTCCTCCATCTCCACTCGCTACACGACCGGTTCTAACTCTGTCTTTTTGTTGAGAATTTGTGTGACTTTTGTCATCATTAGGGCAATTTCTTCTAATATGATCTGTCTTTCCACAAGTCCAACATCCCCTTTTCCCCGGCTTGTTGTTATTGTTATTAAATCCGCGTCTCTGTTGACTCATATCGCGCTTAAGAAACTGAAGCTCACGTTGAAGTTCCTCTACCACATCAGATAATGTTTTGATTTGACCAGACACTTCTGAACTTTCCGATATAGCAAAATTTCGAACACTTGCAGGTTTGTACCTCTGTTTATCCGCAATATAAAAAGCCTCAAGCTCAACAGCCAACTTAACTGCATCATCTAGTGTCTTTGGGTGAGCCTGATGTATACGCAACCGTGTATCCGCGTCATCTAATGCATCAATGAAATGATCTCGGCTCAACATCTCTTGTAGTTCCAATTGAGCTTTGGGATATGCTTTACGGCTTAGTCTCTTGATATGTTGTGCCAATTCAGGCAATTCTTGATCTCTTCTTTTACGGATATTCTTAAGCTGCACACGGAAAAGCTCTGTTCTGTTTTCGGTTCCAAATCTACTTGTTAATGCTGCACATATCGATTGATAATCTTTACGCTTTATCGGATCAATATCGGCTAAAACACTTTGCGCATTCCCGCTTAGACTTGTCACAAGAAACATTGCATTCTGATTATCCGTCCAACAATTTAATTCGGATATCATTTCAAACTGAATTTTGTAATCTTCCCAAGGAACAGAACCATCATATTTAGAGGGTCGGACAACTGGCTTTTCAGATCCCATATGCTTATGTGAATTCGATCCTTGATTACGAGAAGGTTGGAACACAGATGGAATTGATGATCTTTTCGGGGTCGGAGCACTTGAAATTTCATCCTGAAGAGTTTCATACTCTTTAGTTAAACGCTGTATTTCTCTTTGGGTTTCAATCATTCTAGGCGTTGAAGCTGATAACACAGTTGAACTTAATCCTATTCCCGTATCCATTGATACTTTAGGTCTTGCACCTCCGAAATAAATTTCTCTATCAGAAGAATCACGTTTATCCATTTTATAACAATTTAATTACAGTCACACAGTTACTTTGGTTACGCACAAGAAATATTTTATTCTATTTGCAATAATCCTCTCATACAAAATTATCGGAATATTACTATAAATCCACTGAATTTAATTTGCGTAAATACATTGTTGAATTCCAAATTGCACATCAATCCTTATAATAGAAATAAACTAATCCATGTTAATAATATCCCACCGCTGCCACCAAAAATTGTAACGTGACCGAGGGGAGGAACGACCTCGACACAGACGGACGGACATAGCCATACTATGGCACGACAATGTATCCTGTGGTAAATTCCATTAACTAAATAATACGGTATCTATTTACAAGTTTATTCACAAATGTACATTACTTCAGACTCATTGACAAATTATTAGCAACAAAGTTTAAACATATAAACTTTTATACAAGTCCTCCAGAATCTATACTGATTCAAGACTTCAAGGAAAATCACATCCTTCCAGTATCACAGCTGATACCCAATCTGCCAGTCTCTGACCAACTAACCTTTATCATAGAGTTTAATTACTTTCACTCTAGACAAAACAAATAGGCATAACTTATTTTATTACCCTACACCCCAAGACATCGCTACTTGTCTTAATTACATCTGACAGTTCAACTTTAACTGCAGATAATAAAACTAGCCATTTGTCAAATTAGCCTTGCGTCATTAATTTTCTCTGTACACAAATAAACAGTTATAAAGTCAAATTAACTAGAGGTCAATATTTACAAAACATTAAAATATTACATTATTAAATGTTTACACATTGATCCCAAATGCTCACGTTGATTGATCACTGAGAAAATATTTAGTCATAATCAGCGTTACATTACAAATAGCAGGATTCGATTAGATAATATGACCACAAAATCCGGTTAAATCTCTGATTTTAACTCTTACAGCAGTGCTGTTTGTAATAAATAGCATAGTTGTACAATATCACAAAGTTTTTTTTTATTGGAATTGAAAGTTTCCAAATTTCAAATCCCAGTGAAAACTTAACCAGTCAATATCTTGAAAAGTGGTCCAGTTGCATTTATCTTTATTAGGAACAAACCCCAAATTAATTAGGTCTGTTTCCACTTTTAGAGATTGTAAAGTACAGATATCTGACGTTTCGGCTACGCTAAACCCGTCGTCTAAATACATGACTACTTTTATCCCGTCTTTCCGCCAATTTTTAATGTTAACTAGCGATCTGATATCTTTTGTAAAAAACATAAAACCTGTTTTTCCATTGAAAACTTAATATTTTCTGTGTGAATGGAAGGCGTCTAAGTGATGATAGCCCGACTTCAAATCAAAGATAAAATCAAAACACGCAGACATGCTCATTGACATGACGTAAATCCAATATTAACCTTTCTTTACCTTTAGAACTAACAGATACCGTAAGGGAATTTATTACATGTGGTCTTTCCAAAACGACCTCAGCTGCCCCTGATATAACAAGATCTTTAATAGCTAAAACTACAAATTGTTCATGCTTGAAATCAAATTTATTATTTTTGGAAAATTATACTATCTGGTTCATTTCTCATTTGAATTTCATACCAATTTTCAATAACATCATGGATAAAATTAGACGCTCCAATATTTTACCAAAAATAAAGAGATTTTTGTAATCTACCTTTCACATGAATATATTTGAAACCCTCTTCGTAATCACAATAAGAGCTAAACATGTTTATATTATCATGTACCTGAAAAACGTCATTGCGTGGTCCATACTGTTTAAACAGCACTTCCTCTGCTGAAACTGTTTCCAGATTTTTTGTCCTTAGCTCGGCAATCTATAGCACAGTGCCCGATGTTCGCATATAAATAGCACATGTCTCCGGACCTAGCTTGTCTACTCGGACCAGCTTGGCCCTGGCTGCTACGAAAAGGCTGTTGAGTAGAAATAGTATTAGTAACGCCTCCACCATTATCTGTACCTTCACTTGGCGCTCCTGCAGCTTCTGCGGGCCTTTCACGGCCATGTTTTTTTCTGCCTTTGCCGACAGAATTACTGGCGACATGATCTGAGAGATACTCTCGAACTGTATTCCAGCCACCCTCCCACTTGTCGGCTATTCGGGTCAGCTTGTTACGCTTCTTTAGTAGTTGTATCGACTCTTCAAGAAGCAAGCTTCGTAGCTCTGGCGGGCCTTTTGCTTTCAATGAACTCAACTGCTTTTTCAATAATGTCTACAATGTCAGAACTTAATTCAAATTGTATCTGGTTACCTTTGAAATGGAACGTGGTCCCAACTTTCCTCACCTTCTTAGCCAGACTTACTCTATTGTTATTAATAAGCTCGTCTTCGAAATTTGAACCAAAGTTTATGGAAGGTCATTGATGTATTTCAATATTACTGTTCTTCTCCTGATAAGTAAATGCTACTGAAACATTAAGGACACAATTCATTTCAACACTTTTAAGAAAACTAATCTATATTTCTTTCTTCTTTTTTTTTTGGCATTAAAAGTTTAAAATCTTTTTTTGTTTCCATTTCTGGCTTGTTACAATATACTTTAGTAGTCCAAGCTCTTCCTAATGTTCCCTGATACATGCCACGTATTACTAAGGGCAATAATTAGTTGAAAACTCAAAATACAATAAATATATATTCCATAATACATTGTTCAATTGTTTTCTAATGGCTACTACATATTTTTAGTAGTCATATTTGAATTATTTTATTAAAATTGAACACACATTAATTTTTTTGTCTTTTAATCAGATATATACGACGATTTGTAAAATTGTTCCAAAGTAAAACGTTAAACATAAATATTCTTCGTCAGAAATTTTATGTCCAAAAAGTAAATGTTTTGAGGGTATCTTAAAAATAATTTTACTCTTCTTTAAAACTTCATATATTTTAATCCAAAAGTTCTCGTAATACAGACACAATATAAAGAAATGATCGTAATCTAATTTGTCTTTTTGAGTTGGAGATTGGCCATTTTGGACATAGGGCACAAAATTACCAGATATTCTCGAATTTGTTAGTGCAAAATTAATTGCTTTAGTAGAATGTTTGTAACTAGCGACATATCTCATGGCGAATTGTTTTAGCAATTAATTAAACATTCATCAGCAGAGGTCGTTGCTATAAAAGAAAGGCACACCGAGCTTTAAATTTATAAAACTGAAATTATAAATTAATTTATATGAAACAAAACAATTGAAAATGAATAAAATATTGATTGATTATGCAATATTTCCGGTGCTTTGTTGGTTTTTTTTAATCGACAATTCATTTTAAGAGTCTCTTCCTTTAAATAAAACATACGCAGTATGAATAGTTATATCTGTATTGTACTTTGATGCCAATCTGCATATGCATTGAAATAGAAAATGTCTAACATGGATCGCTATGGTTTTGCTTTATACCTTTATTTCAAAATTCATGTATGCATTCTACTTTGCTGTTATAGTCATGGAAAAGAATTCACTGGACCAAACGTTTGCTGGTAAGAATATTTTTCAGTTAATGTAGTTCTATGTATCATAGGTTGGAGAGGGAAACAACTAATATAGTACCTTTGAGGAACACGGCGAGTGTTCTATTTGGAATGGCAGAAAGAAAACGGGAAAAAAGGTAAAAAGTGGAATTTCTTTTCTGTGGCTTTCAATTTCTTCCTATTAAAGACAATAATCAACATTTGAACAGATATATACATATACACGCCTAAACATGTGACTTAACAACAGACATTCTCCACCGTAAAACCCGTGGTTATACAGGACTAACACAATAATATATATATAATTCGTCTCAAATTTAGCCCAATGATTTTTGATCGGAAAATTTAGTTTGCAAATTTTTGTTCTTCCCTCAGCGGGATTCTTGCTTCTGTGACATCGTGGCAGTACCGCCTGCACTGTGACTAGCGTCCCAGACCACTCGACCAACAAGGCTATAAAATAAAAAAAGCTTTCGTTAGTCGAGTAATGCCTTTCCTCGTCGGCTTTTTCTAGGGTTGTTACACAGTACATGATTTATAATGGCAGGTATATATACTCTTCTTTTTTTTTACGTTGATCCACCGATGCCGCGGTAATTTCAATTCTTGCTTCGAAATTATGATTTTAAAATGATCTATTCGATTTTTTTCTTTTTTCTTTTGACGATTTATTCAAACGGATGTGTTCCCATTTCGCCTTTACTGCATATTCCATATGTTAAAATCAATGGCAACAGAATTGACTGCCTCGTGTATTCAGATGTTATTGCTATTTTTTTAGTTCCAATGCAGGTCTTCAAGAAAAATTAAATCCAATTCTAGACATATGAAGTATACTTTAAAGTCCTCTAACTATGCTGTGCTAGGAGAATTTGGTAGATTCCGGTTATATTTGTTTTCAGTTGTATTATCAATTGTGAAAAATTGAAATAAAAAAAAATATGGAACATGGTTTACTGTATGACGACAATATGTGTAACAAAAACAAGTTTACAGATAAGATTTTGGAACACTAAAAGAACAGATACAAATAGTAGTAAATTAGATACTTATTTCAAACTAAAAACTTGCAATTTCTACAGAAATTTATCCTTCTTTAAACAATTTTTCATTGAGAAGTGTCATATGTAAAATGAGAATCAGTGTCTATGATCTTAAACTAGAAAGAGACAGTTATAAAACTTCATATATAGAAAGAGATCAAAGGCTTTGTGAAAATGTACTCTTAATTTGGTTGAAGATGAACAACATTTTATTTTTAGTTGTCAGCATACAATGGTGATAGAGAGATATTTTTCAAAGAGATAAACAATATTTGTCATAATTTTTTCAGATCTCTCAATTGAAGTTTCGTTATTTACTAATGAAAATTTATCATAGGGAATTGTAATACTTAAGGTCTACATGTCAGACGAAATGTTAAATAATATAATTATGAAATTTTGGAGTGTAGGAAATTCCTTGGATATTTTGAATAAATTGCGTGCTTTTAATGGTCCTTTTGATTCGGTTGACAGTTTTGACTTTTCCACTCTTTATACTACACTTCCATACAATCTTATCAAAATAAAGTTTTCCTATTTAATTAAATGGTCGTTTAAAAAATCAGATTGGCAATTTATTTGCTGCAACTCATATAAAGCCTTTTTCTGTAATGAGAAAAGTAAATATGCTAGATATGTAGAAACTTACTGGATGTGTGATGAGATGATTAAAGGTGTAATTTTTTCTCCTTGGCAATATTAATGTCATTTCGGCAATAAAGTTTATCGACCGGTTGTAAGTATTCCTATGCCCACCAATTGTACCCCTTCGATAGCTTCCTTGTTCATGTACTGTTATTAATCATAGTTAATGACCATTCTAAATAAAAACCCGTATAAATTTAATTTAATTGATAAATTCAGCAACACTTATCGTTATCTTGATGATTTTTTTTCGTTAAATAATCAATAATTCTCTAAATAACTGCCAAAATTTACCCAAAGGAACTTACTTCGAATAAATCAAATATTAACAGTAATAACTGTCCTTTCCTTGATTTAGATATTTCAGTTTTATACGAGAATCTCTACACAAAAAATTACGACAAAAGTGACGATTTTCTCAAACTCGTTTGCTATGCCCGTGTCTGTAGTGACGTCTTGGATTTCAATGAGCGTAATCTATGTATTACTGGTAAATTATTAAGTCAGTGACTTCGTTACCACAAATTATGTAAAACCTTTACTAAATTCTTCCATAGATACACAGATTTGGTTTGGAAATTTGGCTGTACATGTATAAAACTTATTTCAAACGGAATAGCACATCCTAATTTTTATGGTGATGTTGTATGTAGAGCCTGGGAATTTAGATACGATCGGGGTAAACTTATCAATCCTTTGAATAAACTCATTCTAAAAGGTCACTGTAATTAGATCGTTGATTATTGTTTTATTAGTATAAAATATTGATTTTGTCATCAGTAAATTAAAACCATACCATATATTATTGTTTTACATATATGCACATCCACTGTTCTAAAATTTGTCGATACCCTTTATTTTGGCATTTGTCAAGGTCATGTTTTCCCCGACTGTTAATGACGTCTTTACGCTAAATCCATTGTATGCTGGGTGTGTACTGATTGATATTTTAGTCTAAGATACATGATTCTTTTTATTTTTTATTAGTTGTTATTGGCTTTGAACTAGCTGTAACTGCGAGTACTCTCAGATCTGTACTTAGTGTCTTTTTTGTTGTGAGGGAGATATACATATCCTGCCACGTTCGGTCTGTGTTTTTGTTTGATGTTTTCTGCTTTGAATCGATCTGATGAGGTTATTATTATATTAATAATAATAATTATTGTAACTTATTTTATGGTTCTGGTCCTGCCGGGAATAAAATCTACATGATTTATATAAGATATATATATATATATAAAATATGTGTAGGTTTATAATTATAAAACATTTATTATAACAGTTCAATGTGAAAATATCTTACAAAATCATAGCGTAATCTTTTTGTGTATGTATATGTCATGCTTCTTATAAAGGGCTCTTAATTAGAACAATAAATAATCTTATCTATGTTATTTTTATTCTCTTATTATTCCAGGTTAAAAAAAAAGGTTAAAAGTACCAAGACGACATTGGTGTTTATCTGAGTGTTTTTAATTAAAACAAACACTAGAAACAATGAATTTGAAGTTGATTTTGCTGCAGAAGGATAGGTTAAACATGCTACCAATTCAGTTTATTTGACACTATCATCTCTTTAAACAAGAAAGCCTTTGATATGATTTTTCCCCCGTTAAACAAGGTTTTGAAAATTAGGTGAACATATTTTTTTCTTTTGCTAGATTCTGTAAATACGTATGGTACAAAATAGCAGTGATGTTGCTTTGTTAAACTTTCATAGCGTAGCAAGGATGACGTTACCACTGTTTTGGAGTTTGGTCTAAACCCTCGAAAGACTCGTTTGTAAAACTGCACTTTTAGCAATTTAAACAAGGGTGAAGCTTTAAATTGTTGGAAAACGTGACATGGAGATTTTTTGCAAACAAACGCATCAAGGCGGGCCTCATTCACTTAAGAGACTGACCTGTAGTAAATCAGTAAAAAAGAACTATAAACTACATACTTTATCAGACTGTTATTGTTATTAAAATCTCCTGTACCAGTGAGAGATAGAAAACTTCTATCTGTCTAATGTTTTTTGGTGGTTGAATTGCTGTCTCATAAAGACATTAACGTCTACCCTACATCTCCCTCTATTGATATTAAGTGGCTTCTCTAAACAAGTCCCATTTTGCAATGCAGATTTATCACATGTGTCAACTCACGCGGTAACTATGCAACAAACGTCAAATGTATGAAAACAAATTTTGGCAACCTCAAGCAGGATATTACATGTATTGGTACAAGAGAGAAGCCGGATATTTAACAAACGATTTCTATCAAATTTATATGTTCGATTTGATAGATACCATAATACGGAAAATGGAATAAAATGTATAATAGCCTGCAATTGTTTTTGCTCGCTTTTGTTCATTGCAGCATCTTTTAATTACATGTTTAACATGTGCATGTCGTCTTCCTCGTCTTCCTCGTGAATGTACGGTGCCATGCCGTTTATTTTACATGACATGAAACATGTTCACAAGGACAAGGATTGGTTTTGGTTGAGTTTCATTTTGTTTTCGTTCACCTATTCTTATGTGTTTTAGCTATTATCATTTTCATTTTCGTGTAAAGGTTAGTTTTGTCTTTTATGATTTTACCAGATTAAAAGCGCCGCTTTTAGCATATAGTACATAACAGTCATCCAAGTGTTCTTCAAACGGTTTTATCATTTCTAAAGAAATGTCTCAAGTCATATAAATATAAGTCTTTTATGCTATATTTCTTCGAGATGGCGGGTTTTCTCGGCCTGTTTATTGACACTTGCAAATGCAAATCCATTCATCAATAAACTAAGTTATCTCTGATCCTGGTAGCAATCATTTATTTCTCTAAAAGTCAAATTTTCCTCATTTGCAAAAGTTGTAAAACATAAAAAAGTATGAAAACAAATTTTGGCAACCACAACCAGGATACTACATGTATTAGTGAAACGAGAATTACTAAAAATATTGGACAGTACAACAGACCACACCAATCACCAACACATCAAACAAACAACGAACAACACATTGTTCTGATATCCTGAATTTGCTCATTAACTCTCCCACTCTTCTGTCTATGTAGACCATATTCTTACTGCTACTAGTAGTACTTTATTATCTATAATAAAACAATAAAATCAAAAGTTCAGAGAATGTAGAAGTGAATTAACATTGGTTTGGTAAGAGATACAATATGAAGACAATGTAAATATTTACATGAATGAAATCAGATGCTCGATCAGCAGTTAGCAACTTGTGAAGATGTTTTGGTAACCAATTAGCAAAATGTATACATGTGAACAAGGAAAAATCGAAAAAAGAAGCATAATCGACAATGACCTCTTTACTAGGAAATAAAGTATAACACTATACAAACCATAACGTTATGTTCAGTATTTCAGTCGGTTTTTAGGAATTTCAAACACTTCGTTTACGACCAGTAGCAGACGTTTACCTCTGCAAAACATAAATACTGAACTGTCTGAAAAGTACCTGAACATTCCTGGATTGGATGCAATTGAAATATCTGAACACCATGGACATTTTCCAAAAATAACATGAATAAATGAATTTATGTTCAAACTTTTCAGTTGATGATCATTGGAAATGGCTGTCTCAGACTAAATATATATATACTTGACCACATGAGTGTAGAGTTGAAAAATACAATAATCAGTATGATCCTGCAAAACAAAGGAGAAACAGTTCTTTTAACCGATTGTAACCGGTGCATAATCAAAACATTCTCATTTCTTCAATAGATTATCTACTTACCCTCAAATCAGTTATGTCTAATTATCGCAAATCCTTCCCTAAAATAAGTAATCTTCAAATATGTAAAAACCATTGAGTTAAAAATACTTTAGCCATAGAAGAAGTATCAAAATCCTCTGAATGCAATATTTCTCTTTTCACACGATACGTCTTTTTCCTTGACACGATGGATGAAATATATACATTTCCTTGTATGATGTCTGAACTTAGACTGTTTTTTGCACTATTTTAGTTCGATTGCAGGATATCCTTTGCAGATTAAAATCATATTTTTTCTAAACTTGGAAGATTATAGTTAAACAAAATTTTTATTATAGTGAACTATTTTTCCAAACTACAGGAAGAAGATTAATGAACAGAATATCCAATACTGTTGCTTGACCTATTACTATGACAACGGAAAATGCAAAGGTAATGTTAAAGATGTACCACATATGTACCACCCAAAAATGAAAACTTAAAGGCAAAATGATTCAAATTTCATAAAAACAATCTATATTTGAAGTTGAACATATTATTTTTATTTTTAATGTGTATTTCAAACAAACAAAATATTCCAAATATTTGCATTCTTTGCTACATTAAAATGTGATATACAAATTCAATACAGCCAATGATTCAATTTCAGCATGTAACCCAGGAAGTACATCGTTAGATGGCATAACGTGTGTTCCTTGTCCTCCTAATACATACGGAGAAATATGTAAATATAAATGCAATTGCAGTTTGACACAAAAGTAAGTTCGCTTTTGCTTTTAAAATTTTATGACTTGAGAAGAACATGACGAATGTTGTTAATTTTTATTTACCTGGTTGTGTTCTGTGGAGTATCTGAATATATAAAAACGATAGAAATGGTTGGAAGGATTTAGAGCTAACAAAACAATAGTTTAACTCCGCTGCATAAACAAGTGCCTGGCTCATGCCTGGAACCTCGCCAGTGATTGTCTATTTTTAAAGGCAGATTAAAGATTTTGGGCTTTTTTCTATTATTATTGATTCAAACTATTTAGAGCCTTCATCAATTCTCCCTATTCCATCCCCCACCCCCCAAAAAAATAACGAGAAAAAAAGGTTTACAAGTCACCATAGATGTATAAACCATACACCTATGTTTCAACTTATTTAACAATTTAATGATATATAGTAATCTCCTTTTCAGATGTGATCGTCAGTATGGCTGCATCGACATTTCTTCAGCAGTAATAATGTCCAGTACAGAGGAATACAGTTACATTCATCGTAAGTTGAACGATTCTTACTTATGAAACTGCAATATGAAATATAATAGGATGTGTGGTAAACGTCAATAAGACAAAAACAACAGAGTTTTTTTTCAACGGTTTCTTAAAAACTATACTTATGACCGGTGTGGCAACTTTTCTATCTTCAAAACTTCCCTTTTCATAATTGTTTCATGACGTTCAGTTAGCTTCGTTAAAATGGACATTAGATGGTTTGCTGTGCAAGATTTAACAACGCTTTAAAAAAAATGTGATATGCTCTAATTATTCCAAGGAATAAGATTTTGTGAATTGGTTTGTTCTGGCTATTCCAACATTTTGAATTCGATAGCCTAAATATTAAGAAATTCATGTTGGGAGTTCCCAGAATTATTGTGTAAACAATGGGATTATGTTGGATTAGTAGATTACATAGATCGTAATTTTATGCTAAATTTTACCAAGAGTTATATATTTGTGCCTTCTTATTTAACTATTTTGTTTGTTTGTTTGATAATTAACACATACTCAGTTTCTTCCTTGTCCGATTTCCTTAATGTCGTCGAACTGTCTGCCAATCTAAACATGCAAGTTTGCTTTTAATATTGTGACGGTATGAAATAGGTTGTTTTTGATATTGGGACGGGATGAAAAAGGTAACTATACCTGAAAATTTTACGCAGAAAAAAGATATTTTTTTTTGCATTTTGACAGAAAAAATTTTCAAGATAACATTAATAAAAGACAATAAAAAATCCACAATGTACTTTCGCTTATTTTTAAAAAATTGAACCAAACTGACTGATAATACGAAATTCTTATTTCAACATCCGCTTTTATTAATTTTTTAAACAAACTAGAATCAAATTTCAATATTTTTGTTTAAGTTGTAGCTTATGTGTCTTAAAATACCTGATTAAAATATATGTTATGATTGAATGAACAATTTTAGAGTATCAATTATTGTATTCAAAGGTATTGCATATTTTAAGTTTTGTTTTTCTTAAAATTCCTTAAACGTGTATATTTTAGTTCGTGATTTTGATAGACAAAAAAAAAACGAAGTATACTTTTTTTGTTCCTCCAGCTATGACAGATATTTTTCATTGGGGAAAATTTTACTTTGTATGACAAGCAGACAGTTTAATTTTGTGTACCTTATCGATATAATGTAGGTATTTTATGATGGTATGATACTAAACTCTTAACGGGAGGGATTGTGCTTGATTTTCATATGATGAAGACATAATCTTTCAATCAGTTTAATTGAGGTCTAGAGCTGGCATGTCAGTAACTGCTAGTAGTCCTTTGTTAATTTATGTATCATTGTCATTTTGCTTAGTTTCTTCTGTTACCTATTCAGACATCAGACTCGGACTTCTTTTAAACTGAGTTTTACTGTGCGTATTGCTGTGTGTTTGTTTATTCTACATTGGCTAGAGGTATAGGGGAGGGTTGAGATCTCACAAAACATGTTTAACCCCGCCGCATTTTTACGCCTGTCCCAAGTCAGGAGCCTCAAGCCTTTGTTAGTCGTGTATGTTTTTTTAATTATAGTTCATTTATATGTTTCGGAGTTTAGTGTGACGTCCATTTTCACGTAACTAGTACACATTTTTGTTTATTGGCCAGCTGAAGCCCGCCTCCGGGTGCGGGATTTTCTCGCTGTGTTGAAGACCCATTGGTGGCCTTGGGATGTTTTCTGCTCTTTGGTCGGGTTGTTGTCTCTTTAACACATTCCCCATTTCCATTCTCAATTTTATTGTTTTTTACAACTACGGCAAAAGATTTATATAGCTCTTAAAATGTTTCTAAAAAGTCCTTCAGTGGCTAGCTACAGTCCACAATACACACTATATGTAGGCATAAACATCTTTGCACTTATTTGAACGGAACTTTCTATATTTCAGTTAAAAAATTAAATTTCGGTGAATTTAAAGAATCTATCACGTTATCGGCAAAGTTATAATTCCTGTTCAAGAAGTTTAAAGAATTATTAGAAGTTTTAAAAACTTTGAGCTGATAACATATGTTTCGTTAACAGTGGAAAGAGAAAGAGGTTTTTTGTTTAAACCAAAACGGATTGTTTGATCTATTGTAAACAGCTACTCTACCATATATGAGATAAGTTCTTTTAGATGTCCGTATTCATTAACTTTTAATAGAACATATTCGTATAAACATCTTTTGTTAGACAAAACTCATCATTTTGATAGGTTTAGTTCTGCTAATAAGCAATGTTAACCCGTGAAACTGCAAGCAGGTAAATGAGTTTATTCTGTCGATTTGTAGTATTTGTATTTTTATATAAAAAAAAACTTAACTGGCCCCTTTTTCATAACGTTAATTAATTTAGATATGGGCAACAGTCTTGTTTTAAGTTTCAAAGGTGTTGAAGGTATTTAAACTAGTATCTACGTCAGTTTGTAGAGTTGTCACGTTGGCAATCATACCACATCTTTTTATTTTTATATACAGCATTTTGAAGAATTCAAGAAATTTGAAATCTTGCCTTTCAAATTTTGGGCTTGAACGTTCCGGATGAATTCGGAAAGGGCGCTTCGGACGCACCAAAATTATAAAGTGTTTTTTTTTTTTTTTTCCTTTTGTAATTTTTACTTTTTTGTGCGATCTGATGTGTCTAGCCATGTTGTATTGTTACACTACTGATCCAGGTTAGGATTGAACTAGGTTGGTTCCCTCCGTAAAATAATCAGTATGCCTTCGGAATATACAAATATTAACAAACTTGTCAAATAACGGTCGGGTACCAGTCTAGGATTGAACGTTCACAAACATCTTGAATCCCGCCACATTTTTATGTTAATACTGTAGGTCAGTGGTTGTCATTGGTTGCTGTCTGCCATTATTGTTTTTGTTAATTGCTTTTTTAATTTTCTCCCCTGAAACCATAGGTCCAATATGGACCAAACTTGGAAAATAATACTTGAGGCATCTTATTTATGTTGCATATGCCCCTTCTGGCAAAGTTCATGACCGCTGTAGCTTCAAATAGACAATAGGGTCAAACAATTGACTTTTATCTCGAAAATTGAGAAATGCTGATCAGAAGCGTCAAGAGAACCCCTAAAAGATTAATTTTACCCAATGTTTATATTCTTAAATATTATCTTGATGATTTCGATATCAAAGGGTAGCAAAAGGTTTTGATAGCAAGCCAAGATCAACAAATATGTTATCACGACAGAAATTTGCAATTGACTCTTTACACTAGTTAAGTTCCTTATTTTAAAATAAATAACTGATTTACCTTTTTTTTATTTTTAAACCGAATGATATTAATTCTTATTTGCTTCATTGTAGACTTGAATGCAACTTACAGCGGATTCAAACGAAGTGAAAGTAGTACCGCAATTTTCTTCTCTACAGAACAAAAACAAACAAAGGACACACAGAAAAATACAGGTCATTGTTATAGATATTATTAGGTAGAATATATTATGTTGTATTGATCCTAATTGAAAAACAATTACGATTTCTCGTTTGACTTGTTTTACATTTTCCATATAGGGGCTTTTTATAGCTTGCTAAGCGATAATGGTATTGGTCATTGTTGAAGGCCGTATTGTGACCTATAGTTGCTATAGTTTAAGTCATTTGGTCTCCGGTGAAAAGTTGTCTATTTGGCAATCACACCACTTCTTTTCATTTCTATTTTGTCCAAGTAATGAAAGTTTACAGGTTTGCATTTTTTTATTGTAATACAGACATCTTCAGATAAACGTAGTATGAAATTTCAAACATATTTACTTGCCATGGATACTTTTTCAATTATTATCTTTTACGACGAGATATATGGTCAATAAATCCATGAATGATGAATACAGTTTCCTCTTCTTTCAGATGCAAACACAACATTTATTTATTATCTGGTGGTAGCAGGTGGTTTAGTTGGTTGGCTTGTATTTTGTTACGCCGCGGTGAGATTAGTTTGCAAGAACATAAAGCGAGAAAGACCATCTCGTCAACTGCTTTCTCCTCCGACTGAAGTAAGCGCTGTTGAAATGCCACTACCAGTGGTACCCAATGAAAGTATCTATAATGAAATAGAAGACGAAATAGAAGAAGTTCCGTCTTCATATTTAACAGCTCGCCATTCACGGTCTTACTTGAGTGTGAAAGACGACAGTGAAAAGTCTCTTAACAGCTCGACCACGGAAACCAATTTCCTTTGTGAAGCTAGTGTGTCCCCTCAGAAAGACGAAGACTTAGAACCCGCTGATGCTCTATCCGACAATAGCCAGGAGTCTTTTGATGAATGTAATGCAAACAAAAATGAAGATTACCTACATCCATACACGACATTACAAGCTGACAAAAATTCATGTTCATATACCAACTAAATATATTCATACCTTGTGAAATCAATGGTTTAACAGATTAAAACTGAACTTAGGTACATAAATGTAAAAGGAAATTGTGATTTTTAAAAGCAGCGTGTCTCATGACAAACGCAATTTTGATAGTCAATTTAGTGTTAAAGTAATATCAAAGTAATATTTACGAATAAAACCACTTTCCTTTGAACAATACGTATTTTCGAAAAACCTTCATTCTTTTTTAACTCTATTCACATCTGATAACCTATGAGACGCGGATTTAGTCAAAATTATTGTGTTGAAAGAGCTCCTGAAATATTGCAGGAGCTCCATAATTTCAGGATATCCTTAAATCGAATCGTGGAGGTCCTGAAATCGAATTATGGAGGTCCTAAAATCAAATTATGGAGGTTTTGAAGTATTTCACGAGATCCTCAATGATTTATGGATATCCTGCATTCGGATTATGGAAGTCCTGAAATATTTCAGGAGCTCCTTAAATCCACACCTTACAAGAACCACATATCCACTGTTTTATCAATTAGAACAGTTTCTTCTTTATGGATGACAGACGCAGTGCTGTAGTAGTTTCCTGTCCGCTCGGGAGAATTCTTTTATTAAAGAATAACACCAAGCTAAAAACAACAATACTGAAGATATTCAAAATGATGGATAAAAGTTAAAAGGCGTTGTCATTGCGTATGGTTTAGGGTTGGAGATGTGTTTAGGGTTTACGATATTAAACAATTGATTTTATGATGGGTGGGGCATTTCCCCTGGGGAACTGAAAAACTCTTAAGACAATTAAGAATATATATGGTTTCGGGTTGGGGATCTGAACCATTTTTTTTAGACATTTAACAATCAAATTCAAATTCTTTACTACCATGAACTTTAAAGTTCATTGGTGTCAATATAAATTGCAAATTTAACAAGTAAATAGACAGAGAATGTTCATGTTATAATGTTGTCTCTGATTTTAAATGCAGTAAAAATGTATTTTCCTGAATTGGTTAACTGTTTGGTGTTCTTTGTACTAAAAAGTTCAATAAATTTAAAAATACTTGGCATAAACCAGTTATATTTCTTGATGTATTTTGCTCCTAGTTCCTTATATTTCGGACACACTAAGATAAAATGGAATTCTTCTTCAATACACTGACGACAAATTGTACACATACGACGTGACAATTCGATGCTTTGGTAGCGTCCAGTTTCAACTGATAGCGTATGAGAAGAAAGTCTCTTTAGAAAAGTACTTTTCCGAACAAAGTATAGGAACATACATCGTCAGATAAAATTGTAAAATTAAAGCTATTTATAATGTGTTTATATATAATACACTTGTTACTATTATCAATTAACCATACATCTTCAGTTTATTAATGGCTGAACGTCGTTGCTTCATAACGAAAATCAATCGCAAATATGAGCTCTGACTGTTTGAACCACATATCTATTATATAGTAATAACTGGAACAAATAACTTTTAATAGTTTTTAAAACCTGGAATTTACAATGCCAACAGAAGAAAGAAATCAACTACAGATGGATATAAACTTTATTTGGTGATAACCTGCAACAGAAAATATTATTGACTTTATGAACATTAATTCGAACTGCACATATTGTAACATTTGTATCTTTTAACTTTTTCCATTTTGTTTGGCAAGTGACCCTTTCCACTTATTTACCAAACTCGTTTTACTTGATAACATATTTTTTAAAGATCGTAAGGGGTCTGGCATAAATATTCATATACCTGAAATTATATTTCAACCCATTATAAGTCCTGAAAGTGTCTAAGTAAGGAAATATTTAAGATTTTACTGTCGGTCAAAACCATGTTTCTCGTTTCTCTGTGAAGAGCCATTTTACTGATCATGTGACCGCAGTAGGAAATATTTTTGTCGTTGTAACGTTATACCTTAAATATCAAAAGTAGTCTTTAAGAGTAAGAAATAAGGCATTGTAGTAAAAATTTTATTAAAGCTTCAATGTTTATACCTGTAAAAGAATAGTTTATAGGAATTATATTGTTAACCAGTTTACCGCTGGAATTTAATATAAGTACTCCCGTCGTCTGCTAGTGCTACGCACTGCTAGAACTTGGAAACAAGTCTAGTTACAAAGTTTTAAGCTTCTAACTATAAACTTTAATAAAGGAAAAGTTAAGACTAAGTCCAATCTCTTTGATAATTCATGGACAGGCATTTTAATGTCCATTTTGTATATAATTTCTTAATGTGCAGGTTTTCCTGTCAGGCTCCTATTTTGTCCGACATTTTCCTGTCAGTCCCTGGCTATATCCCTTATTTTCGATTGGCTTTCAGGGATCTCCAAATAGTATAAATAGGGCTCTGCTCAGTGAAATGGCGGATAACTTGTTAGCTCAAGCCTTACTAGTAAGCTTAACCATCTTCTTGAAAGTTTATCATTACTAGACCAATTCCAAACAGAAAAGCCAAGCAGGTTAATATACTTTAATTCATTATGATAAGATGAAGTATTTCTAAGGAAAAGTAAATGTAGCAGCAGTTATCCCCCACCACACTGAGTGACCTAAATGTCCCGAAAATGATTACTAACTAAGGCGTCTGCATTTGTGTATATATATATATATATGTGTGTAAATAAATATAATATACATTAGAATACTATTTTACAACTCAACTATGGAGTATAATGAGTGTATTGCCTGGCATCCATTCGTCTTCGGAGGTAGAAAATCCAAGATGCAGTATATTCCTGACGAGAGCATAATGGGCCCGAAAATTGTCAACAGACCTTCCACAATTACTCGGCCAGTGGCGGCGGTCTGTTACAATATAAAGGAGTGCGGCATCACCCCCACGGTCAAACCCTTAACGCAAATTCAAAAGGTTTTACCATGGCAATCTTGAGGTCAAAGGTCAAACTCACATAAAGGTCTTGATGATATGTGACATACCGTCTATGGTTATAAATCATGAAGCCAAATATCACAACCAAGTGTCAAAAGATAAAAAAAAAAGTGTTTGCCCGGGCAAGGTTGTGTGAGAGTAAGAATAAGAAAAACTTATTAAACATAGTACAAACATGACAGGTTGGATTTGCCTACTCTCCCGGAACACATGAGATCGTCGCGATTTTTTGTAAGGGTTCCTGGTGATCAGCCTTTGCTTTTTATGTACTGTTTTGAGAACATTTATTTGTCTTTTCGTCATCTTTTTTGCCATGATTTTGTCGGTCTCTCGAATTTTTATAAAATTTTTGATTCTCCGTTTGGTATCTTCCGCCTCATTTTAACATCAAAAGAAGGATGGACTTTGAATGAAAAGGCATTATTTCAGATAGATAGGACTCTTCTAATTAGCAATTTCAAAAGACATGCTTAAAGTTCTCAGCTAAAAGTCCTCAATCGTAACATGGAACGGATTTCATTTAGACAATTCTGGAAATAATAATCAAAGATACAAAGCTTATAATTTTGTACGCCATTTCGTCTACATAGGACTCATCAGTGACACTTGAATAAAAAACGTTTGAAGTCAAAATCAAAAACGAAGTTGTAAAGCATTGAAAACTAAATATTCCCAAAAAGGTTGGGCCAAATACGGCTAAGGTCATCTATGCCTTTGCGAAAAAAAAAAATTAAAAACATAGCGCAAGTTTGATCTAACATTAAAAATAAGAAATAATCATGTATCAATTAAAGCGCAAGTTTACCGATGTTCAAATCTCGTAAATCGAAGTAAAATAGACAAATCAATGTTACAAACGAAAACTGAGGGAATCATATGAACTCTAAAAGGAGGGATACCGGGTGTGTCAACATGGTAAACGTCTCCTGCTATGCATACATCAATCACCATGCGAATCTATTAGTTATTAGTAAAAGTAAATAAAACTATTTGAACTAACTTACTTGTTTCTAATTGCATATTTTTTACATGTAATAATTACAATTAACTAGTATATTGGGAGAAAGGTTTTATTTTTTAAGTCTAACAAAACATATACAATAACAACAGTTAGTTTTGATTCATAATCAAAAACGACTAGAATGATAAGGGATGTATGTTCTTGAGCAGAATCCCCCCCCCCCTTTTCCAAAACAAAAAACAAACAAAATCTAAACAATCAAAACACTACAATAAAAAACAAATCTAAACAGGAGACTTTATCCAAAATTGAAATTGCGTAACGCATATAATGATGTGCTAGGATAAAAACCGATGTGCTTAGAGACATATAACCATGAATAAAAAGATTAATATAACAAATGGTAAATCAATTGACATGTGAACTTACTAGGGTAGAATACTCATACAAAAAAAGGATGTAATCTTATATCCATTAATTTGCTAGCAAATAATCAAATCATAAGGGGGCAATCAAGAATAAAAAGTTTGAGTGGAAACAATTACCGTTTTATACTTTTATTAGCTTTGTATTTCTAAAACAATTTTTGATTTTGTAAAATATTATAAATTTAAGAACACAGCTTTTGTTGCCATTCTAATTTTTTTTATGCAGATTTTAAAATTCTACAATTAGAAAATTAAATTATACGTTTATACACCTCAAAAACATATAAAACAAAGACAGTACTTACAATGACTTTCAAAAACAGTTGAATGAAACTTTAAATTAGGAAATAATGATTCGATAGAGTGTGTTTTTCCATCACATAAACAATACTGTGAATTTTATATTGTAAAAAGAGAATACTGTAACAGTCAGGATTCTACTTCGTCAAAAGTATCTCCCCATTACGCAAGTTCATTTTTACAATCGTAAAAATGGAAGCCATTGTAGGGATGAAGCGCCTCCAATTTAGCTCTTGAAAACCGATAAATTTGTCCACATAGCACCATCACGATCCTTATATGCCAGGTGTATTTTAAAAGACAAATGTATCTACTAGCTAATGAGCATCAGTTAATGTACTTGTCTGCATTCAGTCAACTAAAAACTATTGTCGGATCGGTTGTCAGGTGGAATTTTCGGAAATTCATAAACATTTAAAAAAAATTTCAGTGGTTGAAGACTATAAACCCTAATTATCACACACAAAAAATGAAGTTTTTTCGAAGAAATGCATTTTTAAGATCCAACTTAAAAGTCAGTCGTCAAGTACTTTTAGTAAAAGTTTGCTATTCGAACACACCTACTCTGTTTTTTGTGATTCATTAGAAAGGTATTTCACTTGACCCATATATCTAATTTTTTAGTACTGTGAACTTTCGATGTTATAAAGTCAACCTGCAGCTTTGATATATAAAAATAATAGAATCTGAAGCGAGATGATGTATCAAATACTCTTGCTTTATACGTTTTCAAGACAAAATATTTAACTCAAACACGCCCTAACATAAAAAGGTGCACTCGATTTTATCTTTTCGGTGCAATTGTTACCCATTTTTTTGAATTTTTTCTTGAGTTACATAATGGAAGGGCAGAAACGAAAATTAAGGAACAAATAGATTGATATGTTCTCCGTCCGTGGTAAAAAAAAATAAAAATCGGAGGTTATGCATTTTTTAGATCCAACTGAATAGACACCCATGTCGTCGACTTGATATCTAATTGTTCTGCTTAATTATGTAATAGATAAATTGAAAACTTATGCAAATTGTGTTTTTATGATAAAATACTTCGTAATTTAGCCGAAAACTGTCATTTTATTTGTTTCTATTAACTTTTAAAAATTTTGTTACTATAGTAAACATTACAGTAAGCATTTATCGCCTTCTCTAACAAAGAGCTTCGATTCTTTTGTTCTATTTCAACTGGGTTTCCGCCTGGTAAATATAGTAATCATTGTAATGTGTGATGATGCTAAAATCGCATTGTATTCTGATACAAGTATTCTACTACAAAATGTACAGATACAACATTTATTAATTCGCATTATATCCCTAAGTGGAAATTCAAACATTTATATTTTGAATGAACCGTATGTATTTCTTGCTAGGAAGTTTATTCACATTGACTAAGACAGATTGCCGTATGTATTTCTTGCTAGGAAGTTTATTCAAGCTGACTAAGACAGATTGCCATTTGATGGAAAATGTACTTGTATTGGTGTATTCTGCTCTACTCCAAAATGGAAATTCTTGTTGATTTGTTTTAAAAGGTAATTGTACTTGAACATGAACTGTTTTGATTCAAGCGCCACTGATGAGTCTTATGCAGACTAAACGCGCTTCTGGAGTACTTAATTTTAAGCATTGTAGATTTGATACGTTTTTATGATGATTTACACAATCGCTCAACGTGAAGACGAAGTTACGAAGACAAGTGTTTTGTCAATGAAGCCGAGCAAAATAGGTATGTGAATGTGATAAATAAATTCTATTTAGTGCATGATTTCATATGCTTTTGATATCAGTTTCATTTAAACATTATAATTTGTAATATCGTTAAACAGTTTCATCATATGTAGCATTAGAATGGAGATAACTGTATTGTATTTTAAGCTTGGCCTTCTTGAAACGTAGATATTACTGTCGCAAAATGAGTTTACCTAGCTGTCGCAAATTAAGTTTTTCTAGCAACGTGTCCACAAACAAATACAATACAGTAATTTCTAATCTAATGCCATATATTAAAATATGCCAACAACATTGGACAGTACAACTAACCACACAAACCATCATAAAATACAATACAATTATCTCCATTCTAAAAATGCCACATCTTAAAATAAATTCCATTTCAATAAATATTTTGGCTTAAAAATGCCTTCAAAGAAAAGTCCGCGAAACTGTTACATCGTCTTTGGCATCTAAACGATGTGACGTTATAGGTATACTCGCAATGTCAAACATAAACACTAAACTATAGACGTATTAATACTTTTCGTGCGCTTTTGAATGGTTTAAATATTGTCAAAAAGATGATTTTGAGGCACAAAATGTGACTTTTTGATTTATTTTTTGAGAAATAACACATCCAAAAAATTCGGAACTCAAAATGGTGGCTTTCCTTAGTTACGGACTGGTAGAACGTAGAATCTAATCCTTCAAAAAATTGCATTATAATTTAGAGATGATGCAATTTTTTTAAAACGATGATTTTCATTGAACCTTGACAACTTTTTTGAAGGATTCGATACTACGTTACACGTCGCCAGGAAAACTAAATTCGCGACAGTTAAACAACCGATGGACGTCCGCAAAGCTTCAAATACAATACAGCTGTCTCTATTCTAATACAAATTAAACAACTTAAGGATGTTCGCTACTCCTGTTTCTGAAATTTTGCCAGATATACGGAATCCTCTGGTTTTATACATGTAATGCCATTAAAAATTTTGTCCGCTTACCCCTACTTTTCTTTTCATAATATTATACCATATAATTTTCAAAGCCATATTTGAAAATCTTATAAAATCCTTGTTATATTTTCATAGTTTTTGAAAGAAAAAAGGTGCCAATGTAAAATGTATGAAAAATCTAGAGAGAATCATTTCCCGCCAAATTTTCAATAGCTTATATCTCGAAAACAAGCACACTGACCCTTCATTTTTTCCTGCTTTTTTAGTTTCTTTATATATATACTATCCATTTATAACAGACTTTTTAAAAGCTTGTTATTTTGAAACAGAGTAGCGAACATCCTTAATCAATTTCAGT